CTCTCTGCCTTGTGTGTATTCACTGTCCGTGTGGTCGGTCACGTTCCCAGGCGTTCCCTGGACGCTGCACACCTGGCTGGAGTCCCTGCGAACCTGCTTCGTCCAGCACCGCCGGCCGCTGATCCAGGGTCTGCTCAAGGACTTCAGCTGCATCCAGGAGGATGAGTACACGGAGGAGCTGATCACGCACGGCTTGCCACTCATGTTTCAGATACTCCGCACCAGCAAGGTCATTTTATTTACATTGGAATTAATAAACAGTACCCCCAGGTGGTGGCTTAGTGGTTAAGGAAGTGGACTTGGGTCCAGAAGGATTCAGGTTCAAGTCCACCAACTGCCAAGTTACCACTGAGGTGCTCTGAGCATGACACTGTCCCCACACACTGCATTTAAAGCTGCCCATTGTTCACTTTGGTGATGGGTTAAAAACAGAGGTCACATTTGGTTCTGCTGTGTCACAATGACAAGTAGTTCACTTTTTATATCAGCCATTCAGATTATTATGACTAAGACAGACTTGGACCAGCAGCTTTCTTTCCCCTTCATACTTTGGTCCAAGTAGAACTATTTGAATCCAAGTTTAAATATAACGTTTTTATTGTCAAAGAACGTCTACTGAATACTACTGAAAGTTTTTGTGAAATCCTCACTCCCCTACACCAAAGCCCACAGAGGAAAATAAGCTATTTTACTTCACATCACAGAGATTTTATTTATCACACGCCTGCCTGGGTGAGTTCAGATGGGTTGATTTAACTATTGTGTAAGAAGCTGATTTTTGTCTGTTGACACTGGCATGGAGAAACAAACTTACCTACTATCAAATATGTATTACCCACAGGAAATTAAAGCTTTTGACACTTTGTAAAGTGCTCTTTCCCACACAGAAGTCCATAGAGAAAATGAATGATTTTAATTACATGGTTAGCAACAGTGATGCAAAAGCTGCTGCTTCTGTTTGAAAATTGTTGATGTGTCCTTTATTGACTTTGGAGTATGAAATTGTTGAATTCAATTCACCAAAGTGACACCAATTCTCCAAACAAGGCTCAGGTGTACTGTTAGCTCCTGCGTCCCTGCAGGCTGAAAAACGATCATTTTTGTATGGAGTTCAGTGCAGATGGGAGGAAAACAACTAGATATCAGTTTAATACGCTGGTAAAAATGTTCCTGTTTGTAAAACACCAGACTCAGAGATACATTTATCCTCACATTTGTGTGTGTTTGAATGCACTCCAAAAGCACATTAACATACATTAGCATCCACGTCAGGAACTGGAAAATAGGAGGGAGTGAGTGGAGCGGGGCACAGCAGCAAGGCTTTCATTCTCACTCGTGTTTTGTTGTTGTTGTTTTTTTTTTGCAGAACGAGGTGATAAGCCAGCAGCTGTCCGTTATCTTCACTCAGTGCTACGGTCCCTTCCCCATCCCCAAGCTGACGGAAATCAAGAAGAAACAGACCTCACGCTTAGGTAGGAGCTAAACTGGTCAGCCTGCCTGTGTGTGTGTGTGTGTGTGTTTAATGAAGCTGAGTGAGTGACAGTGTCAAGAGAAATCCTGTTCTTCAAGCGTGTTGGATTTGTCTTTGACGTCGGCGAGGTCAAAGATCAGCTGTCAATCAAACGATCCAAGGAAACAAGCTCCGTCTCAGAGAATGGGATTTCTGTTTTCTCTGAAGGTTGAGACATTTTCATACAGGATAAGTGTTACGTACAAATATGAGAATGAAATGTCAAACATGCCAAACATGCATTAATGTTAACCCAATGCTTTTAATAGAAATCAAGGCATTTATAATGCAGCATTTCTGAACACCGCCTTGTGTGTGTTTTCGTCCTCAGCAACACACACTGATTTATGAGGCTTGACATTTAGGATCACGTGATGTCGCCTAATACCGTGATGATTCACAGTGATCGGGTTTGAAAAACCAGCTTTGATGCTGAAAAGGTCAAACTGCTCCTTTTCACCGCAAACGTGTGTTTGACCGTGCAGCCGAATCTGGCGTTCATCAGCGGTGCTTCAGCACCCTCTACTGGTTACCGTGGGAAATAGAGGGGAATGATTAATTGAGCAACTGTCTGTCGAGAAACAACTGGAAATTGGACTTTATAAATAAATCACCACGGAGCTCAGTGTTTCTAGTATTTCCTGCTCAGTGTCTCACACCCAGAAGACGTGAGTGATAACGCAACTATTTCCTGCTCAGTGTCTCACACCCAGTGATAACGCAATACGTTCATTTATTAACGATAATGTGTCATATTATTGTTTACCTCCCAGACCCTCACTTCCTGAACAACAAGGAAATGTCTGATGTCACCTTCCTGGTGGAGGGAAAACCGTTTTATGCACATAAAGTCCTTCTGTTCACAGCTTCAGTCAGGTGAGGAAAACAAGTGCATTTTAATTGTTTATTTTCTCTATCTGTATGTATGCATTCAATACCCACGATTCCCTTTGTTTCTGCAGGTTTAAGTCGCTGCTACAAAACCGACCTGCGGCGGAAAACACCTGCATCGAGATCAGCCACGTCAAGTACAATATATTCCACGTAAGAAGTTTGAGTGTTTTCTTACTGCATGCTAGTGTGTGTAAACATACTGTATGTGCTCATAGATTACACATAGATCCACAAACAAATGTTGATTAGTCAAACTGCGCTGTGTTTCAGCTGGTCATGCAGTATCTGTACTGTGGAGGCGCTGAGATGCTGCACATACGCAACACTGAAGTGATGGAGGTGAGATGGACCTGAGGATCAGAGCTGCTGCCCCCCCCACATCCCCACACCTCCATCCTCCCTCCTCCTCCTCCCCCACTACTCATTCCCTTCATCTTGTTTTGTTCTGCCGTTCCTCCACAGCTCCTGTCTGCAGCCAAATTCTTCCAACTGGAGGCTCTTCAGAGACACTGTGAGATCATCTGCTCCAAGAACATCACCACTGAGACCTGTGTGGACCTCTACAAACACGCCAAGGTGACCAATCACTGGCCAGTCTGAGAACACGATCCTCATCTGTAATCAGATTCGGTTAATCAGAACCCTGACTATATTCTAATTAAATAAATAAATAAATAAATATAAATAAATATATATATATATATTCACACTAAAGAAATACACACACGCATACATACATACACATAGACACACGTGTATATGCACAAATATATGTCAATATATTCAAGGTAGAGTTTAGTAAAAAAAATAGTATTTACTAACTATTTTTTTTGCCTAATTGCCTAAATTTAAATCAGATTAAATTGACTAAAATCCAACGTCTCATGTCTAATGTTTCATGTCATGGCCTTTATAGTATTCTATTAAGAAACATTACTCACAGTAAAAGTAAATACAACATACTGTAGGTCCATGTAGCTGTTCTACCAAATGTGATTTTGTTTTTGTTTTTTCTGCTCCAGGCTTCATACTGTCTTCTGTTTATTTAACTCCCTGACACGTGATTGGATGTCTGTTTACATGTCCCGCCTTCCAGCCAACAAACACAGAAAATCAGTGCTGATAGGACGTTGTCCCAGACAGATTTTTTTTCTCATTTGTATTTGTTAATTATTTTTTTATATTTTGTTTATTTTTGGCAACAAATTATTAGTCAGTGAACACAATCTCAGACTTTTATTTTTATCTACCAGTCGTGGATGTGACGACAGCACAAAGTCTCAACAAATACTGACTTGATGAAGATTTTTTATTTCCCCGTTTTTCTTTTACCACTGCAGTTCCTCGGTGCTTTGGAGCTGACGGCGTTCATCGAGGGCTACTTCCTGAAGAACATGGTGCTGCTGATCGAACTCGAAGGCTTCAAGCAGCTCCTGTACGAACCTCCACCCGCCGAGAGCCCCGTGTCAGGCCCCAGCATCTCCACCGACATCCTCCGAGACCTGGAGAAGACGCTGGCTACGCGCATCCACTCCATCCACCTCTCCACCTCCAAGGGCTCTGTGGTGTGATGATTGCAACCCGAACCCCCATATAACACCACCATCTACACCCAAGTGTACCCCGTTACGCCACAACCCGCTCGGCTCACTGGTGCAGAGGATCTGTCAGTCCGTGATTCCCTTTAATTCTGTCCCACTGATGGTAAATGTTGGAGAAACCGTGGAGGAAACCTTCTCACCTTGTCCGAGGATCAGACGAAGCGACGGCTCCAACAAACAGGTTCCATTCGTGAAAACATGACCCAACTGTCCCATTTAGACCAAACTAAGTTACAAAACTTTCATCTGTATTTCAGAGAAAACGTTTGCATGAAATACCTTCTATTTGCTTAAAGAGCTAGATTAACGTAGAGATCTAAACGGATTACAACACCAGACTCTGCTCTGGGAAAGACCACATGGCTTCTGGAAGTTTGATGTCTCAATTATGCCAAAAAACACAAACCCACACCGCCACGTTGGTCACATGGTCCACATGTTGCAATAAACTGGGCTTTAAATACACACATTGAGCATCCAGATTGTTGGCCACAGCTTCCAACTCAAGCAGATGGGACTATGGTTATCTGGACCAGTATGCAATAGCCCACATCTGGTATCCAGACTGTGGGCGACATCTTAGCTGCACATACGGCCCAGCATAGGACCAGGAGAAGGTTTCATTTGGTGTGGCCCAGTTTGTGTTCTGTGGCCCACCAGAAGACACCAAATTTGGTTTAGGTGAAGCAAAAAAATAGGACCTGGACTTTTCATTTGATTTGAATATATATTTTAATATGTGGCCTAAAAATTTGCTAACAAATGGGGACCACACATTGAGCCACATCTCAACCAAAAATTAAGGATTAGTTGGTGGTCGGCTGTGGTTGTCTGTAGCCCACATTCTGGATACCAAATGTGGCCCACTCATGACCTGTAATTCATGGCAGTATGTGGGTGCAGTGATACATTTTGTGACCCAACAATGGGCTGGACCAGTATAGATGTGTGGGATTACTATTTTGTTTCGTAGCAATGCCAGCAGACGGACGATGGACGGTGGTCTGCTCTTCGTCCCGTCGTCTCTGTGTAGGTTTCACTGTGTTCTATATTCTGTTGAGGCCAAAACCACAACAACAACAACAACAACAACAACAACAGCTTCCAGTGGCCGACACCGCAACGCTTTCTCAACTAAAGATGAGCAAGAACCTTAGAAAAATCTATGCCGATGTACAGTAGTGTTTGAAACACAGACATTTCCGACGGGGGAATTGAACTCTCAACGTGAAACACTGTCTTTTCTTTACATTTTTCCTTGCATGACTCCTCCTCAGCTGAGCTGCCGCTGATGTCGCTTTTTACGTAGAAACTTTTTCAAGGACCAGTTTTTCCGAAGAACAAGTTGAGAGAGAGAGGGAGAGAGAGAGAGTGTTTCATTCTCTGATGAACTGATGAGGATTCGGAGACGGATTCTAACGGACAGGGATTTTCTCAAAGATATTTAAAGTGTAAATACGTCCTAGCGGTCATCGTGTTGGTTCTTTTTTTTTTCTCCCCACATTTATTTTTCAAACTGGTGTACAGTGTAGGCTTCTCCTACACCTGCTCGCCCTGTGGCCCAAATTTCCTCAGAGTGTGCTCTCTGGACAGCTCCCCCTGCTGTGTGTCTCTGTTTATGCACTGTTGCATGTTCTTACCTGTTTATATGACTCCTCCTCCCTTTGTCTTTAGCTGTTCTTCTCTGTGTAGATGAGGTCGAGTAGAGAGGTTGTTGTTCTCGTCCAATCAGAAAACAAGAATACGCCATTGTTCTGCTACTTCTCATACATTCCAAATGATCAGGGTCGATCGTACGTTCATACGCACTCATACGTTTAAAAGGCTACTTTTGGTTTTGGACTTAAACCTCGACAGTTTTCTTGACAGCAACACAGACCTACATGAACGTTTCGAAGATTGGGTAGTAGACTTTCACCTCCAGTAGGAGGCACTAAAACACAGATTATACTTACAATTCCCAGTTGGGCAAAGTCTGCATTCTGCACTAGTTGAGGAATACTATCGTCACACAGAGATTTCTAAGTGTACGAGGTAAACATATATGAGTAATATCATCGCCAAGGTCAGCTAGCCAGTCGCAGATACATGAGCGAGAAATGGAAACACTTTCAGTTGTGTTCTTTCCATCGATCAGCTCCATCAGTAGCGGCAGTCGTGTTTGTTTCCCCCAATTTTGACATTTTTGATCTGGTCCCTGGTTTGTGAAAGGGAAGTCAGGATAAATCACATCAGATAAGTATCGGATTCAGAAGAACTTGTGAAAGTGTCTTGTTCTGATTTGTGCCGTTCAGACTGTCCTAGAAAGATCAAATATGGGTCACGTGGACAAGAGTCCGATTTGGGCCACCTTTGTCCGCAGTTTGAATCAGGTCGTAAAGAAAGCAACGTGATGTGAAACTATGATGAACAGAAGGACAGTGTGATGAATAATGTTATTCTAGTGACTGTAAACACATGTTAAGGGCGTCTGGAAGATCCTGGTGTTTCGCCATGTTTTGGAAAGGAAAATATGTGAGGAGGATAACAAGAAGAAGGAAGGAGAAACAGCAGCTGGGCACGATGGAAATTTACAGAGTTGGAACAGATTGTGTGAAAGTGACGCCAAACACGAAAGAATCTCCAACACCTGAAACACTTTTTACATGTAAAAATAATGTGAAAATACCAATGCATTGTACAAGTTCACGACATGGTCATATACACATTCATCTTTAGCTTTGAATGAGCAGCTTTATTATGTTTTACTTTCTCAAACTGTATGTTTTTGGTATGAATATGAATCCATGTTGAGTATCTGTCAACTATTAGCTATTTTATTTTATTAACAGCATTATTATTATTAAGTATACAACATGTAAAATCATTCCACTATAACATAAGCTAGCTTTATGCCACAGATTGCCAATAGAAGGACCACATACAGCATGGACCACCCATAGGCATTCCTTTAAAGCCATAAAAGGGCCAAATAAATGTTCTATTTGACAAATATTTAATATATTAGGAGTTATATAGATCTTTTTTGGCAATTCTCTGGAAAAGATATCTGAATTTTTCCCAACTTGCAACAGTTTATCTGGCCTTAAATTGGGACATTAGCATAAAAACATGTCGAAAGTACCTTTAAAAATCGTATTTAAAAAAAACAACTCAAAGTCCATTTATGGATTATTATTATTATCTTATTTTTACACTGTGTACTTCATGAATGTAATAATCCTAACTTATAAATAAATGTGCAATGTTTTCAGCCGAGCAGGAGAACCAAAACGAGAAGATGCTACAGTACATTCTGTCGATTCATTAGCGCGCTATTGCTAACATGCTACCCCGCTAATCCCGATTTCTTCAGTGCACTTTCACATATTCGACACTATGGTGAGGAAAATCGAAATTTAATTTTGTAGCACACTCAAAAAAATTCACTTGGACATTTGTTCGGGACTGAACATTTTAGGACAAGCAAACCGGCAGGTAGGTTTAGTAGGTTCTGTAAATAGACACAAAAACATTATAGATATTTCGAACCCTATGACTTTATTTTCGTACAGTACCTGCATACATAGCACTAGGCTGTATATTTTATTTTACATTTCACAGCTATTTTGTTTTACTAAAGAAAATATATATAAAAATGTACTAATATAAAAAGCTGCTTTTTGACGTTGTTAAGCAATATTTACATTAGATTGTATTACTTTGAACAAATACGTCACAGGGAATAGAGCAACAATATAAATGTGAGATTAAAATTATATGACATAGACAAATGGGTGAATGACAAAGCCTGGATATTTTATTTTTGTGTTACACATATATTAAATAATATTTTCGTTTTTAAATTGTATTCTAACTTAAAGAAAACCAGTACAATATATTGTTTTACAGAGTTTCAAATAATTCACTTCTGCCACATTTTCATGTTGAATCTTGTCAAAAAAAGAGCATCATTTCACTAAAATGACTTGTTTTTATATGGGATGTTACTTAAACATGCTAACGGTTCTGTCACCACAGAGGTAACACGGTTTGTTTTTAAGTTTGTTTTTTTATATATATATATATATATATATATATATGATGTCAAAGCACTTTTTTCTGCTAATGTCAATGTAGCCTCAAAACAATTAAAGGGATAGTTCAGGTTCTTTTGAAGAGGCCTCCATCAACAGTATACACTGACCAACAAAATCCACACCTCCTAAAGACAATGTTGTTCTAAGAAATACCCAAATCACTTCATTTTATAGCATTTTCTTCATTTTCTTTTATATAACAAAATAATATTTTTAGTAAACTTGTTTGACCAAACATTGTACAAAAAACCCAAACATTTTTCTTGTCATTAGATCTGAGTAATAGCTGCCTTGGTCAGTTTAAATGTGGTATTTTGTAAATTTTATAATTTATCTGAAATACTATGTTTAGTTTTACTTTGGTGAAGGAAAATTTAACCTTTAAGACAGCAATAACCAAGCACACTTGTTCTCAAACCTTTTACTCCGTGTCTTCGACTTGCGTCCAAGTTCCGTTCCTATGGGGCGACATAACTTGATTTTTGTCGTAAGTCGGGACTTGCGTCCTCTACAAAAGTGTGGCAATCACCTATGCTAACAATGTTAACATCATCAGCGTAACAACGTATATTCCACTCCACTGGCCAACTACTACTTGTGAAAACCAGTTGGTGAGTTTTAATGCCATATGTCGGAATGAACTGCAAAACGGCGTAGGTCAGCGACATCGTAAACCGAGCCCCCCCTTAAATAATAGCTGTATAATAGCTAAGCGACCCTCAGTAATTTGGAGCCCTTCAGTCTACAGTATGTAGCTTTTTTTTTGCCAATGTTGATTAAAACAGTGCCACAATATTATTCCCTGCTTAAAGTGATGCCTTTTCTATGAACTTTGGTGCAGAACAGTAATTGGTTCCAAAACAACAGTGCTGTGTACCGATGGGACGCACGACCAAATAAACTGCCGAGACACTAATTCGAACTAAAAAGTTAACTCTGGCCACTTCGCAAAAACTCACACCAAACTTCATATAAAAAACAAACACAGTAGACAAGTTTTTGGTTTCTTTTTATCCCCTGCTGCCTTCATTAGTAAGTAATATTTATATTTAGTGACTATAATGGTATGAATAATTCAATCACACAGAAATAAGGTCGGTCTTAACCAGCAGTTTCTGTCCTGCTTTTTAAAATGGATGTTTATTTTGTATTGACCTTGGTTACATAGAGTGAGAATGAATTTTCCATCACCTGTGGGAGAAGAGTGCATAAAAGTTGAATTAATCAACAGACTTAAACCGATGAAGACTTCCTTCGGTTAAACATCAACATGATCAAATAGCTTCTCAAACACACTTGAAAAGACCTGAACATTCCCTTCAGATGTCAAGTTTTGTCGTCCCGGCAGCAGCTGGAGATGACTTTCAACATCCACCCATCTGTTTATCTTTGTCCTATACTGTGATGTCAGTAGCTGAAGACTAACTTTAGCTTCGACTCTGTGCTTACGTTCAACTCAAAGCTGTCAAGTAAACGCCAGTTCGCATGGCTCTTCTTGTTTGATGTCGTCGGGAATGTGCTCTGTACACCAGCTTCGTCTCATGGGACTCTCTCCTTTACGTCGTCAAAATAAACATTTATTTGCCTGCGTATTTGCTCCTGGTAATAAACGAACATTTATCTTTCCTAGAGGCAGCAGAAACATGCATGACATCCACCGTGTGCTGAGGGTTCGGGGGAGGGATGGGGAGGGGAGGGGGGGCTTTTGCAGATGTTTTTGTTTTTTCTCCCTTTGATGAGAACATGTATATTGTACAAAAAAAGATAATGTATATGGAATATAAATTATACATGGTGTGAAAAGCAGAGATGTGGTAGAGTATAACAACATAAAGGAATGTTAAACTCTAGCTACACTTTGTGGTTCCATGACATGCTTTTGTGGACAGCTAATAAAAGACCACATTTAAAAAGATGAGTTTGAGTCCTATTTATAAAAAATGCACACATTGCATATTTTTAAAAACCGTGTAATAACCCATTTTACAGCACTGCCAGAACTCTTAAAACTGTTAGCTACTTGTACCCTAGTGTGATTGCAAGTAAGCTTGTGATTATTTTTGTTGTTAGTAATAATTAATATAATAATATAACAACATTTTGTTGTTCAGATTTACAAAAATGTTGTACCACTAACATTATCATATTATGAGTAGCAGTACAGTACTACATTATGAATTGGTGCGTTTACTTCGTGGGACCGCTGGGGCGCGCAACTACAAACAAGTCTCAAATACGGAACACGAAGAAGAAGCGCCGTACCGCTTAGCAGGAAGTTAGAAAAATTACACACAACGTAGTTATCTCTCATTGAAAATAACACAAAAACCCTACTTTTCGAGGTAAAGTAAGTCTGCGAATATTTATAGCTGAAGATCTTGAGTTTGTGAATAAAAACATTAATTTCGTTTACGTCTACGCCTGCGCACACTCAGCAGAAAATCGAGCCTCTCTGCCTCCCCGCCAACCACAAGCACCGCAGGGTCGAGCGGACGTCGACTCAAAACAACCCTGGCATTTTGTGCTTCTCCAATAGATAGGTTCCGGTGGTAAAATGGAGAGCCCACAATCCAGTGAAAAAGGTAAGAGCGTTTTAAGTTAAACCTGCCTCCTTTGTGTCCACTTAGTGGCTTGTCTTTTCTGGTGTGTGCGCCCGATTTTTAACATGGCGTACCCCGCTCTGACATGGCGGTGTCTTTGTGCTGCCTTAGCGGGGCTAATGCGTCCCGTAGGTATCTGTGGCTTCTTTCAGCTTACTTACTGTAGTAAAATATTGTTTCTAAGTATTTTTGCAACACTACAACATTGGTTTACCAGAAATTGTTAACTGGTTTAACATAGTGTGGAATAAAGAAGTTAGAAACCAGCGCTGTCATGACTGAACGGCGCTGCGTTTAAGTGTTTAAGAGGCTAAAAATGAAAATGAAATACATCTTCATTATAAACAATAATTACACCGGACAGCCACTCATTGTTTTCTCAATGTAACGAAATATTAACTTAAGGGTTACAATGGCTAAATATAAATATAGCCCTTGACCATTACAAATCTCCACTCTTTACACTGTTATACTTGTTTTGTGCGGCGTTTTTTAACGACACCGTTGTCAGTCTTTGAACGCAACATAAGGTTACTTTGCTTACTATAAACACTTTGATCATGTTTGAAAAATGTTTGTGTGCACATTTTTAGTTCTAGGTATGTTCATGTGTATGTGTTTGTTTTATTGACGTTGTGCTCCATTTGTCAAACACATAAGTTATATCTTTATATATCTATAAAGTTTTGGTTATAACTACTACACGTCTCCTTATGCTTCTTAGCAATGCCTTGTGACCTAAAGATTCCCAAACTTTAATATAAACGTATTCCACTTGTGTGACCACTGCCCGTGGTTTTCCAGCAGAAGTCCTTCTGCTGCCGTCTCTGCGTCTCTTCATCCCTCCGCTGCGCCTGGTGTCTTCAGCCCTGTGGCAGGTTGTCCAGAGAGGGAAGGTGACGGACTATGGTCTGGTGGAGGAGTTTGTCAGCACAATCACTGAAATCATTCCAGATCTACTGAATGCAGACCAGAAAGCTCAGCTTCTCCTGGGACTCAGAGCGCGGGTAAGAAAATATTCTAAAAAAACACCCCCCCAAAATGTACATCGTAATCATTACTAAATGTCCCACAAACAATGCACTGTTTTCATGCTGTTTGCTGCAGGTTGTTCTAGAGTTGTGTCAGTCAAAGGAGATAACAGACAGAGAAACCATCTCAAATCACCTCGAACGAATCAAGACCCTTGTGTCCAGCTGGGCAGCGCAGGTTTGTCTTTCACAACAGAGCAGTGTACATATTAGGTGTGATTTTTGTGTGGGTGTTTAAAAAAAAAAAAATATATATATATATATATATAAAAAAAAAAAAAATTCTGTTAATTTGTTTTACTCCAGCCTTGTTTTGCCAATGTGGAGTTTCCGGAGTCAAACTTTGTTGATCAAATCGAGTTGTTGTTGAAGGACCCTGAGGAGAAGGAGAAGTTCTTCCAGGTGAGTGGTTTTCTGCTAAACCTTATGAAAATGTGTATGTTAGACAACTTATATGTGTAGAGCAGGAAAATGTAAAGTTTCTGTTCTTTATTGACATGTAGATTTCTTTCCAGGATGTCTTCCCGACAGATTTTGGGCCCGATTACGACAACGCATTGCAGGTGCTAATGCTGGACTTCCTGTCCAGGCTGGACAAGCTTCTCCCAGTTCCAGATATTCAGCAGGTAATGCAATCTGTCTAGAAATTGGTTTTAGGTTCCTGATAATAGGGGGAAAACTAAGGGGTTAGATCAGTGTTTTTCAGAAGTGTGGTCGCCTGAATGTTATTGATAAAATTTTAAGTAGGTGAAGGTAACATACATGAGGCTTTAATGCCTCTGTGGCTGCAAAATAGGAAACGTGGCTGTGGCCAAAGGGAAAAATGTATTGACTCGATTTAATTGATTTTGAAATGGAGAAAAAAAAACAATAACTCTTACTGTATTTTTTTAATGTATCGTTTGTCCGTAGACTGCATCCCTGCTCTCTGCAGTTCCATCTGCACTGGAGGAGTGTTTGCACTCAGGTGTTGATATGCAGCTCCTAAAAACTGTGCTCCTCCATCACTCAGGCCTGGGACATTTTGATTTTTCTGGTAGGTGTCTGCTCAAAGCACACTGCTTTTTTTACCTACTGCCAGATTTTTAATAATATAATTCAAACCAGTGTCAACAATGCATCCCAAAACTCACAGGGTCTCATTTCTCTCCACAGAGGAATCTCCCAGCCTCTTGTCATCTTTTGGGAACTGTATTCTCTCATCACTATCCCTCCCTCAACTGGAGAAAGTGATAATCAACACAGAACAAATACACCTGCATTCTTCATCGGAGCAGATGCAGGGCTGTATGGCGGTGCAGGTGGAGGGCGAGACTGTGACTCTGTTGGACTACATACAGATTGAGCCGCCATCGGGTTTGGTTGATCAGGAAGAGAACGAGGGGAATGAGGAGGAACCGACTGCAGAGATGGAAGAAGAGGACGACGCTATAAAACCAGCTGCATTTCAGCCGCTGAAGCAGAGCAAAAGGCTGCAGTTGAAAAGAAAAGCTTTAAAAGAAAAGGACCTGGAGATGGCAAGGAGACAGAGGAAGAAATACTCCAACAACAAAACGTGCCCCGTGTGTAATAAGACTTTTCTACGTGCCGCAGCCATGAGGCGACACCAAGAGATCCATTCTGCCAACAGGGATCTCAAATACAAGTGCACGGGCTGTGACAAACGATTCAGGGACCAGTACGACATGAACCGACACACCATGCGCGTTCATGAAAAAGAGGAATTGGGCAACAGCTCCAAAGAAGACAGCTCTGGTGATCCCACTACCTCAGAGATGTCTGAAAACAAAAACTGTAGTCTGTGTGGGAAGTACTTTGCTCGTCAGGTGGACATGGAGCGACACATGCAATCCCACTCAGAGGACCGTCCTTACAAGTGTCCTTATTGTGAGAAGAAATTCAAGAATCCTTACGTCTTAAAGAGACACCAGAAAGAGATTTGTAAAAGCCAGGACCTGAAAAGGACAAGAAGGAAGGACTTGTTGGAGTCAAACCCGCAATTTTCGTGGGAGAGTTTAATGGAGGGTAAAGTTTGTCCCATTTGTAACAGGGTTTTACCTTGCACCGCCGACATAGCAAAGCATTTACGGTCTCACACAGAGGAGCGTCCCTTCATTTGTCTGACTTGCGAGAAGGGCTTCAAGTACAAAGACACGCTGAAGAAGCACCAGATCATTCACGGCCACGACGGGATCAGGGAGGAAGAGAGCAAGTCTGTGGAACAGATTCTGGCTGCAGCCGACGCACAGAATTGCAATGATGCCTGTAGCGTCGATCAAACGGAAAACAATGCAGATTTGCCCAAAGGCTCTACTGAGAAGGCCACAACACCACGGCTAAGAAATTCTGTCACAAAAGCCCTCAAAGTTTGCCCGGTCTGCTGCAGGGCGTTCGACAGCGTGAAGACACTGAACAGACACATACAGTGTCACACGGACGATCGTCCGTACCACTGCGTCCACTGTAAGAAGAGATTCAAACACATGCACGGGCTGAAGAGGCACCAGATCTATGCCATTTGTCACAAGAAAATCGCCCGATTTACTTGGAAAAAGGAGCTAAAAACCAGTTGCAGCCAAAACGAAGCGGCGGGAGCCGACCACCAGCTGGAATCTGCTCTGAAGATACCCGTCTGGTGCTCCAACTGCGGCAAACACTTCGAGTACCCATCGGCACTCAAGGAGCACCAAGAGAACGTGTGCAAGGTGGAGCTGAGGGATATCATGAAGTGCGACGATTGTGGGAAAGAATTCAAGAGTATGACGATGCTCAAAGTACACCAGCGTATTCACGATCCGCTCTACTGCAAAGAGTGCGGGAAGATACTCACCAGCGAGGCCGCCTTCGAGAGGCACAAACTGATGCACCGGCCCATGCAGTGCACCATGTGCGACAAGACCTTCACTTTACTGCGACGCTTGAGGGAACACTACGAGAAGCAGCACGACTTTGTGGGTCCGTTTCCCTGCGGTCAGTGCGACAAAACGTTCATCCAACTGTCCTACCTCGCCATCCACCAGAGAATCCACAAAGGAGAGTTCCCCTACCACTGCTCCTTGTGCCCCGAGAAGTTCAGGTCCTCCAACTGTCTGACAGTCCACCAGAGGAAACACACTGGGGAAAAGCCTTTCCTCTGCTGGCAGTGCGGAAAGTGCTACCGCTCTGCATCGGAGCTCACGGTCCACATGGGCACCCACTCAGAGGAGAGACCATGGGCGTGTACACAGTGCGATATGGCGTACCGTACCAAGCTGCAGTTGAACAACCATGTCGAACAAGTCCACATGGGGGTGCGGTATCCGTGCAGTACCTGTGGGAAGGAGTTCATGAAGGAGACGTCGCTGAAGAGGCACGAGCTCATCCACACTGGGGAGAGGCCTCACCAGTGCACGGTGTGCGGAAAGACTTTCCTCACTGCCAATGAGCTGCGGCTGCACAACCGCTACCACACCGGTGAGCGACCGTACAAGTGCGAAGTCTGCGGCAAAGCTTTCATCCAGTCGGGATACTTGAAGTCACACATGCGCATCCACACGGGAGAGAAGCCCTTCAAGTGTGACGTGTGCAACAAAGGCTTCAGGTTGTCGTATCACATGAAGAAACACAGACGGACTCACACAGGGAAACCAAAGAGCTACGTCTGTGAGGTGTGTGGACTCGCCTTCCTCCAGAAGAAGTTACTGTGGGAACACTCGCTAACACACAATGTGAAAATTGAACCATCGTTCGCTAATGAAATGACAATAGAGTTTCAGTGAAAAACAAGTTTCTTATTAAAAAATTAAAAATTGGGAGATTTGGTTTGTCCATGACTTCAAGGTTCAAGGTTCAAGTTACGTTTTTGGTGATGGTGTGATTTGTTTACATTTTCTCAAGAAATAAATCAGTGGAGAACGCAACCTTTCCTGTTGTCATTAGTTGTTTGTTTTTTTTTTTTGTTTGTTTTTTTACCATGACTTCCCCAATGGTATTTGTTGTTTGATGTAAACCAACCTTTTTTTAAAGAGTCACCTGCCTCCAAACTTTAAGTAAAAGGAAATAAAAGTAGTTTTTTAAAGTAAGTTTAATTTCCTGAATTAATAGCCCAAAGTAAACGTGAAATATACTAACAGGAAGCACGCAACGTCATTTAACCAATCAGCAGCCAGCAGTTTAAAAACTCCTTCTAATCCGCTAATTAGCCGTGGAGCTGCAGCTGGAATGAAGTCAGTTAATGGACGTCGGAACTTCTGCCTTCACATTCAACAGTTCATCAGGTAAAGAGCCAACAATTTGTTGTTAACTCTTATATCTTATTTCCTGTCTGTTTATTATTCGAAATGTAGAACTCGTAAAATGTATCAAAGGATGTTGGGGTATTTTAGATATGTTTTTCTGTTGGTGGTATTTTAAAAAAATATCCTACATTTTTCCAGCTCTTTGCTTCGCTTCACTGTTCACATTCAGCCACATTTACTGTCAATTTATTGTTTTCTTTTTAAATTTACCCAGGTTTCTGGTAGTCATACTTACTATAAGAAACGTAAAAGATATGTAACGTTATCAACACAATATGAACTCGGTGGAACGAACTCTAAGAACCAAAAGTTACAATACAAAACAGGATATAACTCGAAACACACGGAAGTAGACCCACGGAGCTAAAAAATGTCAAAAGCTGTAGCCTCTGCTTGGGTTAGCAATATTATTTGCCCACTAGATGGCAGTATAGTAGTTATGATGAGTAAGCAGGCCCTCCGCTAGAGAAGAAAGTTGTTTGTCAAAACACCTGAAACCACTGTACTATCGAGTCCCCCTCTTTGTAAAAATAAATAAATAAAGGTCATTTTAAATAAACCAACATTTGTTTATTTAAAGAAATTCGTAGCAGATCAGTATCTCTGTCCTCATCCCGTCCTCTCACCGTCTCACCTATTCGCCCAGTGGCGGGTGGAGGCACTGCAGGAGCAGGAGCAGGAGAACCATCTCTGCTCCCATCACTGTGAAAAATCAAAGCCCGTCTGACTCACTGCTTTCTCCAGTGTTGGGACCTGATCACTGTTTAAGCTCAGGCCTATTGGTTTATATGGGCTCTAATTGTTTCAGTGTGTTCTGGATTACCCCCTCCCCACCACCAACCCCCCCC